TAAATTAAAAAAAACAGAACTGCAAAAAGTTATGGTAACTCGTCAGCGATAGAAACGTGACAAGCATCGTCAACGGCGTGTATGCACCAATCATGTGACACACACACAAACAGGAAACTAGAAAACAATCATAACTGAAAATAGGAGCTGATGCCACCCAAAACCAAATAAAATACAATAGAATGTAAAGAATTAATACAAAACACATATAGAAAAACTGATTATTATAAGGTATTAAAACATTGTGTGTATTATTAAAAACTGATTATTATAAGGTATTAAAACATTGTGTGTATTATTCATAATAATTTTAAACTCATTTTGTGCTTTTAGGTGTATATGTATTTATGGCTATGAACAGGAAGGACAAGATTGCATTGCCATAAACCATTGCAGCAAACCCTCAACTCAATGCAGCTCACAGGTAATCTAATTCTAGCCACCTATCTCCATCATCCATTTCCTTTTGTTTGTCTATCAGTGCATAATACAACTTTTCAATTCAAGACCACTTGCCCAAAAAAATTGTGTTGCCTTCCGCAAGCGGACTTAAAATTTCAAAAAATTATGTTTAACATATTTATTTAAAACCTTTCTCACTCACATTACTCATTTGAGAAAAGATTTTGACTGAAATCAAACTATACATTAAAATAGACCTTGGCTTAGGTTTGACAAATGTGGGGCCAATGCATGCATGATGCAACAACAGAATTTTTCCCAATATTTTTTCCCTTAAGATGTCTACCACCCGGACTTAGTTTTCTATAGCTACAACCCTATATGCCTATATAATCATGTCACAAACACAAAGACTAGCATCACTAATACTACTATACTATATATTCTGTAACTACTAATATTAAGTGTGATTTACAGCTTTATTGTATTAAGAAATCAATAAGTATGTGGTATGTTAATACATAATAATATTCCATATAACCAACAGAGTTGAACATTTCAAACTTCAATAATTAAATATTTTTATATTCTGCCTCTCATGCCGACTTTCAACAACATTATTTGCTACAGCAACTCTTCGTGGAAGGTATGAAATGATAGATAATCCCCAGGGAGAATTAATTCCATCTTCTTCTTCATCAATTCTTTTAATAAATTTTCCATCACTACTGAATAGCTGTAGTTTGTGATGACTTGATATAATAATGTTGTCATCCTCATCAACTACTACTCCACGTGGTTTCCTCAGTTCACCATTTTTGTCACCTTCTTTGACAAGGACTTTCATGAACCTTCCCCATTTATGGAACAGTTGTAACCTGCCGGAATCTAATACAAGGATATGCCCTTGGTTTGTAAGGGTCATATCACAGACTAAATTCATTTGACCTTTTTCGTAGCCTCTTGATCCTATCTTCTTGATCATCTTGCCACTATCAATGTCAAACATATACACATAATCAATACACCAATCAGCTACATAAATAAAATTTGATGCCTCATCCAGATATGCACCTTGTGGATACATCAGTACTCCCTGACCAATTGATTTGATCACCTGACCATGCATATTGCATATTCTGATACAAACATTATAGTCACTGAATGCTATGTTACCATTCTTCATTTTGTACATTCTGTAAACACTTACATCTTTTGGTAGTGTAATCTTACCAATGTATTCTCCTGATAGCTTGAACTTGTGTATTTCATTACTCACATTCGAAACAAGCAAGCAATCATCTTCACACTTAACTAAATCGCAAATAACTTGGTTTAGTTGAATTGTATTTACTAGTCCTTCCTTCTGTACTTTGATTGTCAATGGTGATTGCTTGATTGGTTCACCATCAGCACTCACATCTAGTTTATAAATACACAGACTTGTGCATTTGCCAAGTGTCACAAAATAGTCTCCTTTTTCATCTTTTTGAACTCTGGTGATGTTGGTTTCTCCTGCAGGCTTTGTCCATGTTGCCTTCAGTTGATTTGCATGTATTTTACATTCATCAGTTTTAATTATTTTGACAATTATCTGACCTGGGGTCACAAATTCTTCTCCTTTTAAAGTTAAACAGTCTGCAGCCCTCATGTGTGATACATACCCAATATCACATTGCAACGAAGTAATTTGCTGTTTGTTTTTGAAGAATTTAATTTGTCCATTGTCATTTGGCTTTGCTTTTGGCAATTCATTAGTTCTTACTTTCAGTGCTGTAATTACTGTTTCACTTGATTGCATTGCTGTAGCCTCATCACTCTTCAATAACTGATTAAGAAAACTCAGTTTTGTATTTATGTCAAATATAGTTGTTTTCAATTCCTCAATTTGTACATCTAACACCTTCTTTTTCCTTTTATATATTGTCTCTACTTCATTCTTTATTTGATCACCATTTTCTTTCATTTTCTTGACCATTACTTGCACATGATTATCAATATCTCTTAAACATGAATTTTTATTTTGTTCCAAATCTGTAGCAATCTGAATAACTGCTTTGAGGCCATCTTGTAATTTGTTTTTGCATTCATTGGCAGCTTCCTCCAATGTTGCTGAAGTTTCTTTAAATGTTTGGAATGCTTTAGAAATGCTGATTGGTTTGTGATTTCCTTCCCCTACACTGTGGTCAGTAATTACACAATGCATGCATATTGGAACATTGCATATGCAGCAGAAAAATTTAAAAGGCTCATTGTGAAGTGGACACAGCGGAGGATGTAACGATGCAATCTGTAAAGGTGTCATTGATTGTACTTCCTCCACTGAATGTAGCTTGTGTTTTGCAGATATTGGCAATATTTTATGATGGTCACTACAAGTACAGCACAAGTAGTGTCTACATTCCTGGCAGTAGTATTTTGCCTGTCGTTTTCCACAGATACATTTCATCTGATTTATTTCTGAAAATTGTTCAATAGTTTCTAATAAGTTATTCAAAATGGTATTTGGTGAAAGCTTCTGAAGTCCGCCCTCTGGAATAGGATATGATTTTGAACAAGTTGGGCAGGTCAGCTTACCCTTTTCTTTCCTTACCCAATCTTCAAGACATGCCAAACAAAAAGTATGGAGGCAGTTGAGGGATTTAGGATTTTGAAGTCTCTTAAAGCATATAGTGCACTCTAAGATTTTCTCATCAACATTTTCCAGAAACTGATTCAGCTCACTGGTAGCCATCTTGAATTAACTCTGTGAATTAATAATTAAAAAATATCACTGCTCACTGTGGTACGGTTGACTTGCTAGTTATTATCTTTCAATATGAAATAGATAAACAAAAAGGAGTGTTTCAAAAACAGAGACTTTGAAACAGATACAAGACCCGCTTGAAAAACAGATACTCACTGTACAAAAGCAGAGACCCACAACAATTCAGAAAATATTGTTTTGTTTTATTAGTATTTGGGGTATGTTGATCAGTAGGACTTTAGTGGAGTAATTTCCCTTCCCATAATTCATAGTTCGGTTAGGATTGGAGCATGGGGGTCATTCGGATCTAGAGGGATAATGTCCCTACCCCAGATGCATAGATCGGTTAGAGTTGGAGTATGCAGGTTATTTGGACCGTAGTGGGTCAGGAATTGATATTGTAGAAGTGTTGTTGTGTGGGACTATAACACATTTGCTCTATCATTGTACATACTTATACATTGACAATCCGATAAAACTAACTACTTGGCTAACTACGTAGTCAAGTAGTACTAAAGTAGGGGCAAGCCTAGACTAAGTCGCATTGTCTCGAAAGGTACAGTGCTCTACGCTGAAGAAGGATAGCGTACATAATGTGCTCTTCGTCTGTTTCACAGAAAATGAGAGCAGTATGCCTAGCGAGTTTGGGTGGGGGGAGGGGGGTTGCAAGTCTAAAGCTGAAGTAAAAAAATCCGCTATGATGCAGTTTATCTGTAACTCGTCCCACCCAGCCAGCAGAATAATAAAAATAATGAAATATATTTTAAAAAATTGAATATAGATAAATAATAATAATATTATCATTAATAATACTGTAATATAACAACAATAGTGGTAACAACAAAGCTAAAGAAAGTATATATGGCCTAGGCCTACATCAAATCGTATATCACAATTTCTACATTTTGAATGTAGAGTACTATTTATTTCCATCCTCAGACTGCAATGTAAATAACTTCGTGGCTATTGTTACACCAGTTGTAAGCCAATTCTACCTGTATGCTATTATTTGTTATGTTTATGTGTCATATCATAAAACAAATGCATTGAAAATGATATAGGTCATTCTTAAGAATACATAAATTTATTACGTTTGGAAATACAAACCAGTCATAAGTGAAAGTCGTTTTTTTTTTTGGAAATATTTCTAGTTACATTATGTGAATTCACATAATGTACCAGCAATCCACAAATAGTGTCACTCCCATCAATAATAGCCTTCTATACAACATACTATTCTCGGATAATATTTTGACCCAGTTTCAAATATTGCTAATAATTAGCTTCATTACGGTTAACATGATTGATTTTGATAATTTAAAAACTAAAAATCAAGTAATTACCTTATGTTTCCTTGTGAGGTGTAATACTTGCACAAAAGATAAACAGTTGGTTTTTCCTGATTTTAAGCCATGTGACCTGGTATTGGGTGACCAATTCATTTTGTGTAATGAAGTGTTACTAATGTGTTGTCATGCAAATTGGTTTATAAATGGATATTTGATTTTTCTCTGGCAATTCACATGTAAATGATGCTGAATATAACAATAGGACTGATAATAGAATGACAAAGAGAAGAATTCATAAGTGTGTATATATATATGTATATATATATATACTGTCTCTTATACACATCTAGATGTGTATAAGAGACAGGCTGTAGCCTCATCACTCTTCAATAAC